AGTGAATAAAAAGAAAATTGAGTTTGATGTTGAAAAATTAGGTAAAATTTTGAAAGTACCTACTGTTGGATTTGAATTGTATGTGAAGAGGAAGAATACTGTGAAGGTAGGAAATTATCTCAGTGGAGATATAGTTGAATTTCTGGGAGGACAAAGGGGGAAGAATTTTATGAGCCATAATGATCTTAGCCCTCTTAATAAGCTGATGTTCAATTTGGTGAGAAAAACAATACTGCCCAGAACCCAGAAGAGAAGCCAAGCATGCTTGATGGACTTGGCTGTCATATTCTGTCTCTCCAAGAAAATTAAAATCAACTTCCCATCCCTAATGTATCAACACCTTGCACACTGTATTCCACGAAATAACGAAGTGGGATATGGTGCATTGTTGTCTACTGTGTTTGAGGGTCTAGGTGTGAAGCTCAAAGGAGTTTATGAGGGATTGGAGGAAAAACCAGAAGATGTGATTAATGGGGAAACACTTCAAGGTATAAACCTTGAAGTAGTAAATGGAAAGGTTAGAAAAAGTAAGGTAAAGAAAGCATTGGGAGGAAAAAGAAAAGGGAAGGAAGTTCCAGAAAAAAGCTGTGAGGAAGAGTAGGAGGATCTCAGCTGGTAAGGCTCCTCAAACTAGCTTGGAGAAACCACTTGAGATATATGAGGATGAGAAAAAAGTCATTGTAGGACAAGTGGCTGAACTGATAGACAGAGCTGACATTGCAGAAAAGCAGTTGAAGACAACAATGCACCATATCCCACTTCGTTATGAGGGAGTTTATGAGGGAGTGGAGGAAAAACCAGAGGATGTGATTAATGGGGAAACACTTCAAGGTATAAACCTTGAAGTAGTAAATGGAAAGGTCAGAAAAATTGAAGGAAAGAAAATAGTGGGAGGAAAAAGAAAAGGGAAGGAAGTTCCAGAAAAGGCTGTGAGGAAGAGTAGGAGGATCTCAGCTGGTAAGGCTCCTAAAACTAGCCTAGAGAAACCTATTGAGATAGATGAGGATGAGGACAAAGTCACTGCAGGACAAGTGACTGAACTGGTGGACAGAGCTGACATTGCAAAAAAGCAGTTGGGAACAGCCACAGAGCAAATACAAAATCTTGAGAAGAAGGTCCAAGGTCTTGAGAGTAGTCTCAAACTGCAGAAGTTGGAGTTCCAGAAGGACCTCAAGAGTCTTCAAGATAAGTTGGAGAAGTATGTGTAGCAAAATGTTGAAGACAACAAGAAGATCCTTGAACTCCTTGAAACTTAAACAAGACCAGCCTCATCCATCCTATTTTGTCCAGCTTATCCCTTGCTTCACTTTTGTTTCTTTATGTTTTATTATTTCAGTCATGAACTTGTTACTTTTCAATTTCTGTTTTGAAACTGTTATTGTAATATTCTGATAACTAAGCAGGAGGTTTCTTTTGGAATTTAATGAAAACATTTTGGAACTTGGTACAACCATGTGTGTGTTATATTGTGAAAGCTTATGTAGACAAGTTGAACTTATTGGAAGTAAGTTAGCAGCGCTGCCTTCATTTTCCCGCACTCGATGAATTGCTTGTGGGGCTGTAGTCAGAAGCTTAATAATCTTGAAAAAGCATGACTTTTTGATGATGCCAAAAGGGGGAAAAGAGGAAGCAATCTTGAAAGGCTATAGTTGTTCTGGGTTTCAGCTAAGAAAGTATCAAAACTTCTCTGATTTAGTAGCTTAGTTATTTCATGTGCTGTTTTTTCTTTGTTTATTTCTCTTATTTTTATTTCTTGTTTTTTTTAATGTGTGTTTATTTTTTTTTATTTTTTTTTTTGTCAAAAAATCAAAAATACAAAAATACGTCCTTCTATGTGTTTTAACTTTTGTCAAGAGTTTGCTTAAGTTTGTCATCATCAAAAAGGGGGAAATTGTTGAAGCTTATAAGTTTTGATGATGATGAACTTAAACTAAAGCAAACTCAACTAAAGGTTTACAAGTGTTTAAGTACAGGAGAAATGGACCTTGGTGGAGGAAGAACATCTTGTATTATGAAGACTTGAAGAATCTTTAGTAAAAGGTTAATCAATAGAAGAAGAGTTCTCTAACAAGAACTAAATTCCTTAACAGGAATGTTCCCTAACAGGAACTCGAAGGTTGTAAGCTGAAGACAGTAAGTTCCACAAGGAACTTAGGCTGCGAAGTTCCAGTTGTGAACTGGAGACCAAGTGACAACAGGAACTTGTTCCTATCCTGCGTGAAGCCCAAGATATTCAGAATTACAGAAGCGCGGCATTGAGATATTAATTTAGTTAAGACTTTATCTTCTAGATTTATCGTTAAATATGTTGATAAGATATGCATGAAATCTATTAGAGACGTGACAAGATAATTTGGCAAAAAGATAAAATTGGAAAAATATAAAAAGATAGATTTTGGAAAAAGATTTTGTTTTAATTTATTTTCCTAAAATCAGTTACAAAAACGATATTATTCTTTCATATATATCTTCTTGTATTTTTCGGGAAAGGATTTTTCTTCAATAAAATGATTTACCAAAAATCGTATTTTGAGATAAGGAAAAATAACATCTTTATCTTTTGAAAACCTACTTTCTATACAAGTTATACTTGTATAAATAGTAGAGGTAAAACTGCTTTAGATCCGTGTAAGTTTTATGCGTGAAGAAAATCTTGTGAGCTTTATCAAAGTGTAAGTTTGCCAAGCTTTATCTTGTCATATTAGTTTCGGGTTTTATGCATAGCTTGCCTAACATATTGTAGACACTTTATTTACTGTAATTGTTTGGGTAATTGAGTGAAAGTGTATGAGATTTGTAATCACATACTGTAGAAATTATTTTGTGAAAAAGAGTGCATTGGTACTGTGAGAGTACGAGTGAATTCAAGTCAGGGGATTTGAATTGGGTAGGAGTGAGTCTTACCGTGCTGCAAGTTCTAGTTGGAACTTGTATACAAAGGTCTGGATTATAATAGGTTTGTAATTTCTTTATTACCCTATTATAGTGGATTGTTTGTGTGTTAAAATCCCTTAGAAAGGTCGAGGTTTTACTTCCAGTTGGGCCCTGGAAGGTTTCCTCGTAAAACTGTGTGTGCACTATCAAGTTCCTTTTATATTCTGTTTTTAATTTGCAAAAGTAGTCACTAGGAACTTAACTGCAATTCACCCCCCCCCCCTCTTGTAGTGTTCATTTCAACTAACAGAAGATCTCTTTTTAGCATGAAATGCGACAACTTCCACAGCCAATCAGTCAAATAGGAAGACCACCCGTCGCCTAAACGTACTCATGCAAAAAACAATAGAGCAATATTCAAAATCAACAACATATAATTTATCCGGGAAAGAAAAGTTAAGCTAACAATGCATCATCATGTTTATTTTATTTTATTTTCAGTTTTGCTTGTAAATATTACAAATTTACAAGGGTATCAAAAAGAAAACACTGCTTATGAATCAAGCACCACAGCAAGAATAATTTAACACGATACGAAACTACAATATCCTGAAAGTTAACTATATTAGGATTGACTGACGTTACCTCATGTCAGCTGTTACAAGCCCCAATTGGAAGGAGGAAAATAGAGGATTATTCTAGAAAGACGGTATTAAATAAATAAAAGAGAAATAAACATCATGTTATTTTGAACGCGTAGTATATTAATGATGGTAGACGTCAAAGTATTGACAGATCCAGATGTGGCAAATTTTGGGCCAGTCTTCCCCGTCTGGTTTCTTGCATCTATCCTTGAGATTAAAGGAAGTAAGAGAGTGAAGAGATTTCCATGTTATTCCCAGATTCTCCAATCCCCTGCACTTCCTGATCGTCAGGTCACGAACAGATGAGGCGGCGCAACTTTTGAATCCCTCTCTAGCTGTTCCCAAATCTTCAATATATATCAATTCTATGCAATCAATGCTTCCCACAAACTCTGTAAATAGGGAATTGAAAACGCAAGAATTATCTATTGACAACTCCTTCAAAGAGATTGGAATGTTTTGAACACCACCTCCTCCCATACAAAATGTCAGTGCTTCACTGACTTTGTAAAATTTTAGTTCTTTTACGCGTGGACATGGAGGAAAGTATGTCAATCCCTTACACTCGAAAATGCACAGAACTCGGAGTTGAGAAAATGACGGAATGAAAACAGGTTCCTCCATCCACAATCCCTTTAATCTTTGCATCTTATATAGCTCTAACTTTTAAAGAGAGTGAAAGAATAAAGCTGATGATGATGGTGCATCACACTCTATGTACTCTACATTCTTCAAATCATCAAGTTTTAGATGTTTTAGATGACGAAGTTGACTCAGTGATAATGGGAGACATCGCAACTCATCCAGAGACAAATTAACTCCGATTTCCAAATGACTTAGTCCTCGGGGAAGAGTGAGCAATAGCTAAAGCAACTCTTTAGCTCTGGAGCAAGATGATAATAGCTAAACATCAATGTTGGCATTATGTCGTCGTCATCATTACCTAATTTAGCCAAATCAATACTTCCGAATGACTGCCAAATTGCTATATCTTGATTATACAACAAACTTGCAACCACCCTTATGGAGAGAGGCACATTGACACAATTTTTCGTAATTTCTTTTCCTATCTCAACTAGATCAATGACTGCAACGTCTTCCCTTTCTCTAAGTGATATTTTCTTGAACAGTTCCCAAGAGTCCTTTTCTGCAAGACTAGGTAACGCATGAATTAGATAGTTTCCAATACATTCTGCTACCTTTTTGGAGTGGCTAATCACCAAGATCCTACTTCCCCTTCCCCCTTTCTACCATTCTCAGACCATACGTCATCTAAAACAAGAAAGTACCTTTTCCATTCTATCTTATTTCGAATTTCCACATACTATGATCAATTGAATGCATTATGGGAAGAACTCTATCATCATGAACCAATAATAACATGCTCCTTCTGTTCAAAGTGCAATGTTGGTGAGTTACACGCTCAACGACGAGAAACGGCTAAACTCCATGAATTTTTAATGGGATTATACTCTGAGTATTATGCCTACGATTGATCGCGCATATCAACTAGCAATTCAAGATGAGCGTGTACGCCTAGCGAAAGTCATTCTCGAAGAGAAAGCACCAGAGGCAGTGGGATTTGCTCTCAAGGCAAATTCGGGTATGAGCCGTGGGCGTGGAAGCAGCAGCAGCGACAGTTCTGTTTTCTCCAAGTGTCAGAGACCCGGTCATGATGCCTCAAACTGTTGGAGTAAACCGGTGTGCTCCCATTGCAAGAAGCGTGGCCGTGAAAGTAGTGGCTGCTATGAACTCCATGGGTACCTGGAGGGATGGTTTGATCGCCCCAAGACCGATGGTGCTGGTCGTGGAAGGGGGAATGCAAATGGAAGGGGGCGTGGCTATGCGAAGGCCAATGCCGCAAGTAGCCACAACATAGGGGCTTCGAGCAATGCTAGTGGTGCCTCGGAGTCGACATCTTCAAATCAGATTTTCACCCCTGACCAATGGGAAGCAATTGCGGGATTCTTTGGTAATGCAAAGGTCCCTGACAACAGGTTGAATGGTAATTTTAATACCAAAAACTGGATTATTGATACCGGCGTAACACATCATGTGACTGGAGATGAGACTTGGTTATTTGATGTAACTGAGATTATGCAAATTCCTGTTGGTCTTCCCAACGGTGGAACGGTGGTTGCAAAGAAGGAAGGGTCGATTAGATTGTCGACCTCCATTACTCTTAAAAATGTGTTATATGTTCCGCAATTGAGTTGCAATTTTCTTTCGGTTTCCCAATTAATTAAAGATTTAAATTGTGATGTAAATTTTAATTCTTCTTTGTGTGTTATACGAGACCAAACGATGATGCTGATTGGAACGGGTGTTAGGCAAGATGGACTTTATTATTTTAGAGAAGCGGATTCAGTTCAACACGTTTCTGTTAATGACCCAACCCCTTCATTGGAGCTATGGCACAAAAGGATGGGGTATCCTTTAGAAAATGTAGTAAAGCTACTTCCTCCTGTAGTTGGTTTTAAAAGGTAGTTTAAATAAAAATTGTGAGGTCTGTTTTAAGGCTAAACATCCTAGGGACAAGTTTCCAATTAGTGATAATAGAGCAAGTCGCATTTTTGAGAAAGTACATTGTGATTTGTGGGATTCCTATAGACATCCTTCGTCTTGTGGAGATCGCTATTTTTTAACTATAGTTGATGATTATTCTCGTGTCGTTTGGGTTTATTTATTTGATGATAAAACAAAAGTGTTTCGTGTTTTTATGAATTTTATTGCCATGGTTGATCATCAATTTTCTCAAAATATAAAAATTGTGCAAAGTGATAATGGTACGAAATTTAATTGCTTACGTGAGTATTTTTCCGCTACTGGTATTTTATTTCACACTTCTTGTGTTGGGACACCACAACAAAATGGTAGAGTTGAGCGCAAACACAAACACATCTTAAATGTAGCCCGGGCCTTACGCTTTCAAGCTCATTTACCGATTTATTTTTGGGGAGAGTGTGTTCTTGCCGCCGTACATTATTTAATTAACCGTACTCCAACCCCATTGTTACAAAATAAAACACCCTTTGAGATTTTATTTGGCTATCCTCCTTCATATAATGTCATCCGCACTTTTGGTTGCTTGTGTGTTGCTCACAATCAGAAAACAAAGGGGGATAAGTTTGAGAGTCGCACTCGAAAGTGTGTGTTCTTGGGGTATCCGTTTGGCAAGAAAGGGTGGTCCTTGTATGATCTTGAGAAGCGAGAATTTTTGGTGTCCCGGGACGTGAAATTTTTTGAAAATGTTTACCCATTTCATGATGCGAATGTGGTAAATATTGAGCCCGAGAGAGTTGTTCCCATGTATGATGATAGTGTAATAAATGATGATTTTGTGGAAAGTGCAAACACAGGGGTTACGGCTCCACTTAAGAACGGGCAGCCACGAGGTACAGTAGACTCCCTTGCCACGCAAGAGCATACGCTGCAAGGGGAGGCAGCAGACTCCGCAACCTGGCCGCGGGAAGATAGGGTGAGCCGCGACCAGGCTACGACCTCCTCTTCCACGCAAGAAAATGTGGGGGTTGGTTCCTTCGATGCACAGCAGCATGACCTCCCACAACAGCCCGTACTGCCAAGGCAGCAGGGCCAGTCACCGCAGCCACTGCCAGACAGTACGGTGCAGCAAGGCAGCCAGCAGTCGGTCGCGAGTACTGCTGACTTGGGAAGGGGTTTGCGGGTTAAGACTCCTTCGGTTCTTCTACGAGATTATGTGACTCATACTATTGTTGCTGAAAGTCCATCTACGCCTACACCAATTTCGCAGCATAAATCAGGTACCCCGTATCCTATAGCATACTCTATTAATTATGATAATCTTTCTATCAAGTATCGTCATTTTTTGGCAGCTATTATATCGGGTAATGATCCGAAATCATACAAGGAAGCAATGAGACATGATGGTTGGAGGACATCAATGCAAGAAGAAATCCGAGCCTTAGAAGATAATGGGACTTGGATATTGGAGGAATTGCCCCCTGGAAAACGTGCACTTGGTAGCCAATAGGTCTATAAGACCAAATACTTGTCCAATGGTGATATTGAACAATTAAAATCAAGATTGGTGATTTTTGGCAATCATCAAACCGAGGGCATCGACTACAATGAGACTTTTGCTCCCGTTGCAAAGAGGAAAACTATTCGAGCTTTCTTAGCCATAGTTGCATGCAAGAATTGGGAATTACATCAAATGGATGTGCAAAATGCATTTTTACATGGTGATCTTGATGAAGAGGTGTACATGAGGTTGCCCCATGGGTTCGAAAGCAACAATCCCAAGTTGGTGTGTCGTTTGAAAAAGTCACTATATGGCTTGAAGCAAGCTCCTCGTTGTTGGTATGCGAAGCTTACTGCAGCTCTGAAAGGGTATGGGTTTCATCAATCCTACTCTGATTACTCTGTTTACATTTTTTAAAGGGCGGGTTCTGATCAATGTGTTGATATATGTTGATGATCTGATTATTTCTGGAAATAATTCCACTGCATTATTGGCTTTTTAATTCATATTTAGGTGATTGTTTTAAAATGAAAGATCTGGAGCCCTTGAAATATTTTCTTGGCATCGAGGTTGCTTGGAGTGCGACAGGTTTATTTTTGTGTCAACGTAAATATACGTTAGACATAATCTCAGAAGCAGGCTTGACAGGTGCAAAGCCTAGTGATTTTCCGATGTCGCAACATCACAGGTTGGGTCACGCGACAGGTGATTTACTTGCGGATCCAGAGCCATACCGTCGTCTTGTTGGCCGGTTGGTCTATCTCAATGTGACACGACCAGATCTTACTTATTCCGTGCACATCTTATCTCAATTCATGCAGCATCCGCGTATAGAGCATTGGGACACGGCCTTGCGGGTAGTACGGTACTTGAAAGGTACTCCCGGGCAAGGGATTTTACTTCGAGCAGACAGTGATTTGACTCTTAAGGGGTGGTGTGACTCAAATTGGGCTGCTTGTCCACTCACTCGGCACTCAGTGACAGGTTGGCTAGTGTTTTTAGGCCATTCGCCTATTTCATGGAAGACGAAGAAGCAGCCAACGGTCTCTACATCATCTTTAGAGGCCGGGTATCGTTCTATGACCTCAGCAACCTGGAATTGAAGTGGTTGAAAGGTTTGTTATATAGCTTGGGAGTGCATCATCCCAAAGCTATTCCATTATTTTGTGACAGTCATTCCGCTCTACATATTGCAAAAAACCCGATTTTTCACGAAAGAACCAAACACATCGAGGTTGACTGTCATTTTGTGAGAGATGCCATCACAGAAGACATTATTGCTCCGTCATATGTGCCTACAGATACACAGTTGGCGGATATATTTACGAAGGCCATTGGAAAGCGACGGTTTCATTTTCTATTGTCCAAGTTGGGCATTTTCGATCCTCACCATGCTCCAACTTGAAGGGGGTGTTAGGATATATTAGAAAGATTTGATATTATTTGATTTAATATGGTTAGGATATTTACTTGGCAAAGATAGGCTAGATAATATTCTACAGATTCTTGCCATGTTTATCTTGTATTTTTTATATATTGAGGCCAAGAGACGTGAATGAAGGCAAGCCAAAGTATTCTTGATTGATATTTCACAGTATTGAATTCATCCATTAAATCATCAGCATCATAGACGGCATCCTTGAGGTTCTCGACCCAGTTTTGGCCTTCATTTGTGAGCTTCTGGCACTTGGAGTCGGCATCCACAAGGAATTTCTTGATCGTTTTGACAGTTTTGAGCAACTTCTCAAGCTCAGATTCATAGATAGAGCATAGGTTTTGCACTTCTGCACACTGTAATGTTGCAAACAACATCTGAGCAACAGTGAGTGCAGTAGCAACATCAATTTTTCAATTGAGTTTTGAATGAGAAAGAGCAGAGAAATTAAAAGATGAAGATAAAGAAGTATGGTTTTCTATAATTTTTTTGGCTGTTGGTAGATGTATATGAGCTCTACAACTGTGTTTAAATAAACAAAGAACCTTAGCTTAACGATCATAGGATGCTTAACAATCTTCCTTAAAAAATAATGTTTGTATTTTAAAAAGAACGACAGCAGCATATTAAAAGAATGAATAGAACATGTTTGACTCAAGTATCCAAATTTGTATTTATAAACTGGAAATATTCAATTATTATACTCCGTATTACATTGTAAATATTATAATGATATTGTCTTAGCAGAAGAGTGATGGTTAAGTCTTGGCGCATAGTGCCTATTGATTTCAGCGCATATATGATGGCAATTTTCAATTAAAAAGTTCTGTTAAGATAACTTATACTTTATTGGTACATTATACATGCATAATGGTACCATTAGAGAGTCAGTTTTTTCTAGAAGTTTAAACTTGTATGATGGTAAAAAATATCACTACACTCGTAATAGTCCACAAAACATACTATTCAGACAAATTATACTTTAGTGGTACATTATACATGCATAATGGTACATTATAATGTACCACTAGAGAGCCAACTTTTTCCAAGAAGCAAAAATTGAATCAGCGGAAACTACTTCCTTACCCTCCTATTTACATAACTCGCCCATAGATACTCACCTTGGAAATTGCAACGAGTATATTAACAAATTCAAGAAAACCTCACATGCATTTGAATGGGTATCAACAAACACTGGCAGTTGTGTAAAAAGAATATAAGGGCATGTTTGGTAAGGAGTAAGAGTGTTTTTTAGATTGGAAAATGATTTAATTAAACCATCATCATTAACAATTGTTTAATAAAAAGAATAGGGTTATTACCAATTAATCAACGATAATGGCAGAAATTGAATGCGGGCCCAATTACTGGTAGGCCTAAATATACCACAGGTGTACTTATCAATTACCAAATTAAGAAATAAAATTACTACCTCCGTTACACCTTATTTGCAACGATTTGACATAGAGTATAGAGGAAAAAATGTCTAATCGTTGCAAATAATGTGTAATGGAGGTAGTATTATACAAACGATGGAAAACAATTGAAAAGTACAACTCCCTCCTTTTTTTTATTATTATTTTCATCACTTTAAATTGCACAAACTTTTAGGATAGTAACTAGGTTAGGTCCCGTGCCATGTACGTAATTTTCAATGGTTAATTTTAAAATTAACATTTATTATATTATTTAGTTTCATATGCTATATTCATATCAATTGAATGTTGAAAATCAACAAAAATGTAAGGAAAAATTACACACACTAAGAATAATCAACATGTGTCACTCTTGGCAAGTATTATTGAAGTATCCGATCCATAAAGTAATAATTGATTGAAATTCTAATCATAAATTATTTAATGAAACACACAACATCATTTGATGATTTGATATTCGCATTTCATTATTTAAGTTTGTATGTAGCTTCTATTATATATATATATATATTATATATATATATATATATATATATATAAATATTCACTACTAGAATTTTCGTGCATTTTCGACGCTTATAAGGCCTATTTTCGACGCAAAAAAGCCTCGAAATATTTTTTCTCGACGCTTTGAAAAAGCGTCCGAAAAAACGTGAGTCGCGAAATTTGTAGGACACCAAAAAGCGTCGAGAATCTCGACGCAAATTTGCGTCCAAATTTTTATACTAAGCGTCTAGATTTGGATATTTCGCACAGCTTCTAAAAGTTCGCGACGCTTTTTCATGTCTCTGATTATAAAGTTGTCGACACTTTTTATTGTCCTTAACGCCTAGTATATAATTTATCAACTTTGTATATATCCAAGTTAGCGACGCTTTTTAGCGACCTTGCCATTAAAAAATGTTCTATATAATGAAATGCTTCGACAATTCCTTATAGAATATTAGGGCAGGTTGTTGAAGACATCTTATAAATATCATTGTGCTACAAAAAAATTCCAAAAGTAATTTTTTTTAAAAAAATCTCATTTCATTGTATATAAATTAATTAGTATCTTCCCTAAGACTCAAATATTCATACAAGAGCAAAACTACCTAGCACAACAATGTTTCTAAGAAATTAGTTATGATATTACATTCTTTGTTATGACTAACAGTTCGTTTAATTAATTCCGCAAGAGAGTAGCGATATCGGAGGCTGCTTCTCCTTGGATTACATTCACAAAGGCTTTCCCAGTGCTGCAAGACAAACAACCAATCCAGGCTCTTCAACTAGTACATAACAGATGTTTTGACAAGGCCCTTTTTCCAAAGCTGCTCCATCCCATTCTTCTCTTTTGTAAAGACCCTCAGTAACTCCTTATTCATGTAAGGTGCTACTTTAGCATCACAAACAATCTGTTCATATCACCAAAATAATTAAAAGAACCAGGAAAACACATCCACACACAACAGGGCTAACAAGCAGAAGTTAATAAAAGTGGAAAGAAAAAATTGGCATCTTAAGATCACCCCCGACTCTTCATTTCAACTCAAGGATGTGTATAAGATCCTCAACAATCTGACATATATTATTTAATACCAAGAACATATTTTCGCTCATCATGTCGGAAAATTAAACACTTCTATGCCAAACACAAGCACCAGTGTCACATTCTTTAGTATATACACAGAATTATCAGCAATCATGTTCTCAGAAATGACAGGCCCCATATAGCTATGAGAAATATGTTTGTAAAGAAATTCCGCCAATTATTAACCAATAAACAAACACAGCGAAACATGGATTGTAGGTGGCAAAGGTATACTGCTCTTGACAAGAAAAAAACTTATCAAAAGGGGAAAAAAAAGACAAATACTGACTTAATTACACAAAACTCAGCCTTCATATACTCCTATATTGTTGAAAACAAAATAGTCAACAAAAGGACCCTCTTGAAGTAACAAGATGTTCCAAACAATAAAAATTTAAAATAAAAATAAATAAAAAATAAACCTAGTGAGTGGTCCACTATACAGACCATACCACACTAAAATCTTAATTGGGAAAAATAATTTATAGAGTTCATTTAAGTCAGCCAACCTTAGCAGCCATGCAAAGCAGCTCCTCATGAGAAAGTACAGCAGGCTTATGATACAGTTGATAGAGTTCTGATCCAAACCCTCAATGAGTAGGAGCAAAATTAACAGCATCAACACAGTTCAATCCTGAAATATCAAATGACTTAATATTTTTGTTCTTTAATCAACATAATATATATATAAAAAAAAAACTACAGTTTAATCATGTATATTCTACCGTAATTGCTTACCAAGATTGAAACCTCCATGATAAGATGATTAAGAACTAGGAAATCTAATCACAAAGTTGTCTGGCTCCTTGCAGAGAGGAAGCACCCAAGGAAAAAGAAAAAGGCAGTTTACAGCATAAGCAAGCCATTGAAAAAAAGACAATATACAAGAAATAATAAAAGTAATTCAAGTGATGAAGATTAAGCAAGCTCAAACAAATATAATCAGAACCACAAACAATATGATACCAATAAAGGTTTACAATAATCATCACAAAAGTTTAAATAAGCCAGGTATTAAAAGAAAAGGTATGAGAGCACAATTGCATACACTCTAAATATCCAAGAGCTGAAATTTACATAGGAAGATAAAAAAAAAAAAAAAAGAACACTAAAATGTAGTTGTTGATAACTATATAATCAAAAGTATATATAGTTCATTGTAGCACCCCACTGAACACCATACACCAAAATTGGTGCAGTGCTTAGCACTCAAAGAATATTTAAGTGCAAGTTGATCTGAATTTTTATCCATTTGATAGCAGCTTATTTGATTAACTTGTTGATAGCAGCTCGTTGCCGTTGTAAAAGATGCTACAAGCTAGGAAGCATAGGAAAAGTCAAATATTTTTTCATTTTTGACATAATTTTGTAGGGGGTTTAGAACTTTCATTTTTTGTAAATACACAAAACAGACATGTATTCTGTAAAGTGGCTGGTAAAAAACTTACATGTATCTTTTAGCGTGGTACAACCAATGACTACACCTTAAGCTTCTTAAAGGTATTTCTTTCGGTGATGAATGTTTGGCCACATGTCCATGTCAAGATCATAGACCATAGTGTGAGAGCCACCTGAGCCAGAGATATAATTTACAAAAGAGAAAAAGATCAAAGAATGTGGACTTTTACCTAAAGAACCATATTACATACGCAACCAAAAGGAATAAACAAAATTATAAATTTACCAAAAAGAGGCTATCAAACAACTCTAAACTCATCATAATCATGCTTCAAATGCAGAACAAAAAGCTGAACTTTCAAATTTGAGATAAAATAGAAGCACAGTGAAACATATTAAAACTTTGTATACATGAAAAAACCTTGAAATATCGATTGTCTATGTATCAAATACCTAAACAATACAGACAAAGCAAGTACTAACAGGATGGTAAATTTCATCAGGATTATTGTAATGAATAATTTCAGGCAACCACTAATAGTGGGAGACTGACAAAAGCCAAGTACAGAGGTCTTCCAAACTAATGTGACTATTATAAGGTTATAAGAAGCTAAGCTAGCTAGCAGCACAAGCATACTTTCTAGAATAAGCATAACAAAAACAATCTTGTTCTCCCTTTTTTTTTTTTTATACTCCTTAATAAAGATATATAGCAAGTTAACAACAGAAATTAAGTTGTCATAGAAAAAAGAAATAAATAATTGACATGGAAAAAAAAAAAAGTTAAATAAATATATCATCCATGTTTAAGGGTAGAGAAGTCCAACTAGACTATAACTAAGCAACTAATAGTAGTCATATTCAGACATGCTAAGAAAACAAATATGAAAATGCAATCATATCTTGTATCTAGAGACTGATATATAGAAACTTAGCTTGAGTTGACCAAAAGTAGCAATATAATTTAGACAACATTAAGAATCAATTAATCATTATCTTCATAAGATATTCACAAGTGATACCTCAATTTGTAAAGAGATGCACGAAAGTCAAGTAAGTTATGTAGGATTTGGTAATACAAGGGTCTTCAATTTAATATCATACTAGCATCAAATAGAGAGAGATTATACACTATGGGGCATTTTAGGATCAAATAGATAAACACGCAGAGCTTACTTAAACCAGGCACCACAACAACAGAGGTAACAAGTGCTATATGAAGTGTTAGTTCAGTTAAAACAAAAGTAATATTTGAACAAAATTAATGCAAATCAATATAACCAAAATAATGAAGCTGAGTATTTTAGAAACTAATACTATTTTTTTTTTTTGAAGCCTTTAGAAACTAATACTATATCTGAAATAAATCTGCAATTGAAAAAAAAAAAAAAAACACCAAGAACTTTTCATACCTAGAAAAATGAATTCATCTCAGCTAAGTTGAGAAATCACTAATAATAATTCACATCAAAGAAACAAAATAGAAATTAAAGTTTCATATCAATTTTATAAACCACAAATTGCAAAGAGACATACATTCAGCGATTTTCGCCCCTGTTGTTATAGACCCGGCGATTCTACTGCCCACCATTTTCCTTGAATATAATGAGAAGGTGATCTTTGGTTTCAAAAACCCCTTCTTCTTCTATTTAAGGGCCAAACTCTACTTTGGTCCAACCAATAACTCTGAAAGAATGGAATAACAAAATCAATGTCAAGTTTTACATGCCGTAATGAAATATATCTAACAAATGAAATTAACAATCAAATAAATCACTAATGTGTAAGAAAATATCCAGAAACTAAGAGAAACGATTGTAGAAATAGAAATTCAACAAGATCTATAACCTAGGGTTTTACAACGAGTAAAATTGGGTAATTGCAACTTGCAAGTATCAATTAAAATCACACAAAAAATAAAAGAAGCAATTTATATCTATTAAGAGTTAAGAATTAACAAAGATTTATGTAAAAATGTAACCTGTGAGGAGAACGAGAGCAATAGCTATCAGCAAATCAAATTTCAATGCGCACCACCTGATAGAAAGAAAATATTTTTCGGCATGATGTATAAGTTATTGTGATAGAATTATGACAAACGCAAGGAGAAAGATGATCTGAAGTAAAACTCTAGGCCATGACTTCATGAATCTCTGTAAAGAATTCAAATCGAATGATGGAAAAAAAAAAAAAAAAAAAAAGTAGGTTTTCGTGATGTTGGGCGGTTTTTTGAGTGCAGTACAGCTAACTAAGTTCACGTGCGGGCCACATGTTAGTGTTCTCGACGCTTTTTGTAGTCTAAAGTTACTTTCGACTGTAAAAAGCGTCGAGAAAACGCGGATATTGTAATTACCTGCTGACGCCCCTGCTCTAGCGTCGAGGCTATATCATCGAAAAAACACTCCTTTTGTAGTAGCGTCGAAAAAACACTCCTTTTGTAGTACATAATATATATTTACTTTTAAAATAGTCCATAACAAATTATATTAAGAAATATTATTTTTATTTTTTTTGCTTAAGTTTATATTTGTCTATATGTTTTATTTCGGAAAGATCCATCAAATTCTTCTATTACACTTTATAGGAAATTAATACTTTATATATAATTTGTTTCTTAAATATTTTTTTTTTTCAAAAAAAAAAAGAAAAAAAAAAACTAAGGACACACCAAGAGATGACACATGTCATTGTTGGTGTGTCTTTTAGTATATATAGTTATTGATATAATATTGTGAGTGCGTGAATAAATTATTATAGTAAAAGTAAGATGGAGACCATGAAAGAGAAAGTATATGAGAGAAGATAGATATTTTTAATATTTTAGTGGGGACCATGGAAAAGAGAGAAAATGATAAAAAAAATAATAAAAAAAAAAAAAAAACTAGGGAGTACGAAGTTGTAAACAATATACTACCTCTGTTACATGTTATTTGCAATGATTAGACATTTTTCCTCTCTACTTTATGTCAAAATCATTGCAAATAATATGTAACGGAGGTAGTAAGTTGCATACTAATAAAGACAAGAGACAAGTATGAGAAATAGTTCTAGGTTTCGTGTTTCACCCATTACTCTCTATAATGAAATTAAACTAGTTGCAGAATTGAATAAATATAACATAACAATGATCGTAATCAATAGTATGTTATTTCAGGGTTACGTCAGACTATGAACGATAAGACTTATCATTCTGTGCTATGTTACGGCTGGGGGTCCCCTTGTTTTTGTCGGAGATATCAATGAAGATCATGTTGTGTTATGCGCTGGTATTGTTGGCATTAAACATAGCCATAATATTGTTCGTGACACAGTCGTCAATATCAGTTATCGGTCTGGGATTTTTATAGGTAAGGAGATTGACATTGGGCTATGTGGTGGGCAAGACAAGTCTATCCGTCCTGCGAACATGTTACTTGATGAGTCTATTTTATATATATTTTATTCCCCGTCTCACGGTCATATTTGTGCTTATTTGAGCTCTACGGAGCTATTTTTATTACTAATATACGTTGTCTAGTGTTTTTGTAGAGAATGGTTTTATTTTGTAGGAATTTGCGCAATTATGATAATTCCCGAGCTTATTGAGCCACTACAAAGATATTAGAATCGAATCGTATTTTATGACCATATATTTAAAGCCCAAGGCCGAGTTAGAGAAATTTAATCTGGCAATTAAGGGCTTGATACGAGAGAAGGTCCAAGATTTTATAAGTTATTATATCACGACGGACCAAACAAGAGAAGAAATGGGCAACAAAAGAAGCACAAAGCCCAGCTCGCAGCTCCAAGCAATCGGGCCCAATCACTTAAATAAATAAGCAGTTGGACGCGCTTTTTCCTTGGGCTTTACTTCAGCTATTCTTTAAGTCGGTTTAAGGCTCTAGTGGGCTCCTAATTCAGCAGCTTTGATAGTGGAATTAGAGTTTGACTTAGAATCAAACTCCTTTTCCTATAAAAGGAGGTAGTACGTACTACGTAGGGGGTGGGGAGATTAATTAGTTTTTAGTTTCCTTTTCATTAGTTTTAGTTTTGTTTTTTTTATTAGTTTTAGTTTAAGTTTAGTTTTCTTTTCTCTTTTCTTTCTCTAACTTTTCTCTCTCTCCTCTTAATTAAACTCTTAGTATTTCTTTCTCTTTTGTTTCTCTCTCTACAACTCTTGGTTTAATTTCATCCTTTATTTAATCTATTTCCTTGATCATGTCTTGTTTAATTGCTTTATTTAGTTTATATTTAATTGTGTGTGAGTAGTTTTCTTTCTAGGGTTTGTGGGGATCTAATAAATAATATGAAGGGGTAAATTATTGTTGTTGATTATCAATGCTAGATTAATTTCCTATTGATTGATTTAATGCTCTGTGACTAGATTAGGCCTATCTTTTATGCATGAATTTGACAATATTGATTCAAGATTCGAGAGATGAGAATTAATGTTTAGGTCTAGTTTCAATAGGCAGATTAATATATAAATGGTTAAGTCGAGATTCGAGAGATGAGATTTAATATCGGTAAATTAATTATGTGATTGTAATACGTAGCGAAAGCCCTTTACAATCTGGTCAACTGATGCATTGATGATTGACTATTATTGATTATTGGTATTGCATGATAATTTCTTATTGGATTGTTTTAATTCTTTGCAATTAGATTATGAATCGAGCAGATGTAATTTGATTGTGAATGTTTAGCAATGTTGAATTGATGAATCGAGCAGATGTTAATTTGATATTAAAGGCTATTTTCAATAAGAACTTAGATCTAGTAAATTACGAGAGCCTGTTAGATCTATGTTGATTAATAAATTGCGAGAGCCTGTTAATCATGTTATTTATGCAATGTCAATGATTGATTACTATGTTTTACCCTGGAGTATTATTTATTTGTGAACCTATGCCCTAGATCCTTTTATATATTGTTTTCTCCCTATTCCTATTCTTTGTAGTTTAGTTTCATACTCAAACATAAATATTGGTTACTTAGATAATTTAGATTATAATAATTAATCAGGAGTAAAAAGACTTGTTTTCCTGTGGAGATCGACCCTACTTCCCTATCTACTTTAGTTAGAGGATTTAGGTATTTACTTTTGATTAGGGGATACGACTTTACCCTGTCATTACTCTACTCATGGGCAAGACAAGGATAGATGTGTGTGTTGACCTAATAGGGTCATTGCCCTTCTCACAGTCTGCAATGTCTGATTTTGTACTTGGTCATATGGTGATAGGTGCAGCTCATCACAAAAGTGCAAAGTATCAAGCTAAGTGTGGCGATTGGGTATGGTTTTCTTCCTTTCTCATTTTCTTCATTGAAGAATTAGAAACAGATGTCGTTGATTTACTTAAGCGCACACATAAGTTTTCATAAACTCAGGATATCGGGGCGCTAAAGTGGCAGGCCACATCTTTGTTAATGTTGGAGATTAAGTGGCCTCCAAAGTTTATCCTGTTTTAAGCAAGTATTTTTTTACTTGATCTATATCACTTAAGGGGATATTATCTATACTTTAGGCAAGTAAATACGATGATATTTATCCCGTTGAGAGTTGGTTACAACTAAAATCTTAAGTGATAAGGACTTTTAATATTATAAATATGACATTACAACATACGTACAATTTCATAGAGAAAATAATCCACAAAATTGAGAGTGTTTCCATTAGAATCATAGTCATCGTCCTAGACTCTGGGTTTTTGGGTGTGACAATCGTTGAGGACTCTACAGGTGTGGTTCGTAAGGCAAGTTTCTAGATCTTGTTGAGCTTCCGCTTGAGAGTAGTATTAGGATGGGTGACCTCCTGGGAAGTCCACGTGTTGCACCTTGTTGGGCCGCGTAACCCTCATTAACGGGTCGCATGCACACTCCACTCCATATTAGTATGATATTGTCCGCTTTGAGCCTAGCCCGCACGGATTTGTTTTTGGGCACCTTCCCAAAATGCCTCATACTATTTGGAGTATGCACTTACTTATAAGGAAGTCCTCTCTTCCTTATTTCTTCCATATGGGACTTGGGATGAACTACCCAAACAAACCTCTTCTTTAGACCAAGGACCACAATATCAGAAGTACTTTCGATGCAATGCACCACAACCGCAAGATCACACATTTGAGGGAATCGTCCCACACGCGCGTATTGTCCCGGTTCTGATATCACTTGTTGGGTCCGGGTAACCCATCTTAACGGGTCGCACGCACACTTCACCCCACATTAATATGATATTGTCTGGTTTGGGCCTAGCCCGCACGGATTTGTTTTGGGCACCTTCCCAAAAGTCCTCATACTATTTCGAGTATGCACTCACTTATACTCCCTCCGTTTTTAAATATTTGCTCCCTTTCTCCATGTGCGGAGTTTTTGGAGAAATTGGAGAAAGTAATAAAATATGCAGGTAGTGGGGTTGGTGGAAAAATAAAAAAAAATTGTAAAAAGCAAAAGTAGTGGAGAAATTGGAGGTGAGAGAATATGAAATGAATAAACTATGATATTTGTTGGGTTCACTAGGTAGTAGAAATGAATTAAATATTGTAAAAGCTTTCCAAATAAGGAAATGAAGCAAGTATTTAAAAACGGCCGAAAAAGGAAAGTGGAGCAAGTATTTAAAAACGGAGGGAGTAAGAAAGTCTTCTCTTCCTTATTTCTTCCATGTGAGACTTGGGATGAACTACCCCAACTATTAAAATTAGCTTTGTTATAGCTAAAGGAGTATGGGCACAGGTTATTTTATTATCGGCTTTAAAAAAAAATAATAAAAATAATATTAATATTTTCATCGAGTTCAAATAGTTCACATTGAGTTTTTCACACAGTTCTTTCAGTTTCAAGCCATTATTTTTTGTTCACATGGAGCCAGCAAACTTTCTATTCACATTGAGTTTTTCATACAGTTATTTCAATGTCAAGCCATTATTTTCTGCTTTTACTTTTGTATGGAAGAAGAAATAACTGTAAAGCCATTGGCGTAATCTGTACTTTATAAGAGTTGAATATGAATAAACACTTTCCAATTAAAAATATATTCTACGATGATCTGTTGCTACAATTAATTACTGCCTCATTAAGATATATGTAGCTAACTCATCTAGTGAATTAAAACACACAAATTAACATATAAATCACTTCTAAGTGAAAATCAACAAATCATGTACAAGGGATTCATTTCTTATGTGTATATCAAATAACAAATTATGGCATTTTA